TGTATATTGCGTAATTGCGCGCGCGACAAGAGAGCAACGGTAAAAGTCGCGTCAGGAATTTCCGAGCACCTCAGCGGCGTGACTAATATCCTACCGTTTCTCTCGCGAAACGAGTTCTCGACATCGTCGTCTCGGCTCGCATTGCGAAGACTTGAACTTACTTGTTCTTGTTTTCCGTAGATGGGGCCGAGACGTCGAGAACTGTGTATTGCCGAATGACACGCGTGTTACATCATTTTGGTGCTTACGTGGTCGCAGAGTGCCGGTGAATGAGGACGCGCGAGGAACGCACACGGGAAAGGCCGACGACGGCCTTGAGGCAGGCTCGAACCGGAAAATATGGTGCACGAGGGCACGGGTCTATGGCACGCGGCGGGATTCAACGCATCGAAGTGGCTGATGATCATAATACATGGATACCGGGTCACCACCCTCGTCCTGTACATCCTGCTCAACGTGCTGGTGCGCACCGGTGAGTATAACCACCTTCCGGGTTTCCCCTTCGGCAGAATAGGTATGTTTTTCCGCGAGTTGTTTGCGCACGCCCCGCGCCACCGTGCCCCGGTCCGCGTCGTCAAAGTCGGAGCGGAGCGGATTCCGGCCCTGCGTAAAGTAGAGCTGCCTCTGCAGCTTCGAGCGCTATTCGTATTGACTGCTTCTTTTTGTTTAATCCACTTGACATTCGCGTATTCCCTCGAAAGTTTGTTCTGCAAATATCACGCTTCTTTTCAGTTTAAATATTGGATTACAATTTTTTCTAGATCAGTGATTACAATGATAATAATGTAAAATAAATTGAAATTAATAGTTAATATTGTATTAACTCGTCATTTGTTAATTTCGCTTAAACTTAAAAACAGAAAGGGTTAGGTTTTTTGTCTATACATATAAAGTTTAATTTTATAAAATATTGTATATATATATATATATAAAATTAAAACTATAACTTTAAACTAACTCTGTTTTTATTATTATTATATCTAAATATAATATTTTATATAATTTTTATATTACTTTACTAAGCAAAGAACTGTATATGATATTTAAATAATTTTAAAGAAACGAACGTTAAAGTTTCAGGATATAATAATAATTGTAATTCTGGATGTTTATATATATATATATATAATCTTTTTATTTCTTTAATTCCCTCAAATACAAATCTTTTTAACTATAATTTTCGTAAAATCGTCACAAATGAAGTTAAATGATGCGTAAATGCGGTTTTTTTTCACTTAGTATAGCCATATATATATATTATATATTTCACAATTTCTGCCTGTCACGTGCAGTCTTAGGGTGATTTGATATTTATAGAGGGTGGCGCCGTTTTTTCTTTTATACGCAGTTATTTTGTTCGTAATGTATAAATATGTGTGTTTGGAAATAAAATATATTTATTTCCATTATCTTATATAACTTTATACAAGATAGTTTTCCATTAATGCAGTTATACATATATAATTGTCATTGATGTACGTGAAAGTCTAAGAAGATTCATATATTATGGTTATAATAGATCTTGATATTATTGATATTAATCTAAACATTTATTTTATATTTATTGATTTTATATTTATAAATAATTGTGGGCCTGTGACCTGTAAGAATTAACGATTTATTCGCATTTAATGAGAGTTTAACGAAATCCCGTTTAAAATTCAAGTATGCCTATCTTGTTTATCTCTCGAATGTTGCAGCAACGACGATAAATCGACGTTGGCACTCCAGGCGCACGCATGATATGACGATATATCATAGTTCGCCACTCAAAGGATTAATGCATTTAAATTACGTCCTAGTATGCGCAGATATACTGCTGCATATCGATACGAGCATTAAAAGTGGAATCTGGCTACATGCGTGCGGTCGTCATATTATGTTTTATGAATTTCTGTATATAACATTTGTAAACAAAACATGATGACATACTTGCCACTCAATCACTTGCAGTAAAATTCAGATATTTGTTTTTATACCAATATCAATCACGCCTCATCGATAACGTTTTACTTCTTCTCCAAACTTTCGCAGCACTGATTCCTTTTTGAAGAAAGATCTCATGCATTATTGATTACAATTATTTATATTTTAAAATCGTTATTATTTATTTAAATTTATTTATAAAAAATATTATACTGTAATAAATATTATGATAAACAAAGTAAAATAAATTTGGCGTTGAAATGTTTATCCAAAATATTTGCAACAAAATTGTCATGAAAAACAAAATCTTGTTTGAATTCTCATGGTATTCCAAAATGCAATGCCAAGAAGATTATAGCAATTTATATGCGAAAAAACACATAAACAGATATATATAAAAATATGAAAAAGATATTCTGAATATTTGCATTGCGTGAAATATGCATTCAAAAATGCAAAATTCCGCGCACGTTTTACTGTTAAACACGCAAAATACAACTGACGCTCATAGTAAAGCGGAGTGGAAAAGTTTTATTTTTTCTAGCTGCGCAATAAATAAGATAAAAGTTCTGCAAAACATTTTTGAAAATCTTCCGCTATATTTTATTTTAAATTTTGTGAATACGTCTCCTTTTATTTCGTGTTATAAGAAACATATTTCGCTTTTGTAAATATCGCCGTATGAAATCTACTGCAGTTTTCGAACGTATACAAGACACATCCAGATGTTATTCCTATGTATCGATGAGTAAAATAATTTGTATGTTGACCCATATTCGTTTCAAATATTATATTTGCTCATTTTTAATATTTAGTTAATTAATTGCGTTTATACACCAAGTTTATATTTTCAACAGCAAGGTAGATCGTATATCTTTACACGAAACAGCAACTTGAGAGCACAATTTATACGATATTCCAACAGCATTTGAACCGATCGAGTTTGTAACAGGTTTAATCATTGGCTGCGGTTTCTATTATATTACAAAAGTGTTTTTATTTTTCCTCTTTGTGCTCTTTGAATAGAGATATTACAACGCAAAATCCGAAATATGAAATTATTTGAAAAACGTCATGTCGCTATTTTGATTACAAGTGACAATAAAGTAGCTCGCAATTGATATTGGCTATTGTTATATCGATAATTGTAGGAGATTAAGGTCTTATGCAGATAAAACGCGGAAACATTTGCTGTGTAAAAAGAAGTAATACAATAGCCAATCAATGTTTTGCTATGCAAAAGTGGTAAATTGACTGGTTACTGCATTGTCCACGTTTACAGATGTTCTAATGTTATAAAAAAAAATCAATCACGATATTATTACATAAATATAGCATTAATCACATGCAGTCTAGATTGCAAAAGACATCTTAATTATGTTATTTAAATTTAAATTTGGAATTAAATGTAAATTTACATTATATAGATATACTAGCTGGTTACCCGGGCTTCGCCCCGGAGGACATATGTAATAAGACACGCAAATAGCTCTCTCTCTCTCTCTCTCTCTCTCTTCTTCTCTTTCTCTTTCTCCTTCTCTCCCTCTCCCTCTCCCTCTCCCTCTCCCTTTCCCTCTCTCTCTCTAAAATGCTATGAATTGAAAAATATTACTTTTTTATTGACTGAAGTTCAATTCTGTCAATTCTGTCGTATACAATTTGAGATTCACTCAATTATTGGTAAAAGTTTACAATAACTTACACAGCTCGGATTACTTTGACCTTGACATATGTTGTCAAGGACATAATACTGAGTAACTTTTCCTTATAACTTAGTCGGCGGTCGCTGCTTATTAAAAAGTTATAAACAAAAAAAGTTTGAAAAATATAGCAGCTATTTTGAGTATTGGAAGGCATAAATGACTAATATATATGTCGAAATAGTTTACGCATACACTTTTCACGCGAATCGAGGTTCACCCACACCCCCCTGCTTTCGAGGGAGGTGCGGTAGCTCCGAAATAGTTCACGCATACACTTTTCACACGAACCGAGGTTCAACTACACCTCCCCCCCCCGCTTTCGGGGGAGGTGCGGTAGCCCCGAAAGAGTTCACACATATATTTTTCACGCGAACCGAGGTTCACCCACACCCCTCCCTGCTTTCGGGGGAGGTGCGGTAGCCCCGAAATAGTTTACGCATGGGTTATAGTTGACGCGCTTTAAACAATTAAATACTGTTAAAGCGCGTCATCTAACCTATGTGGATTAGTGACGCGCTTTAAACAGTTAAATACTTGTAAAGCGCGTCATCTAACCTACGTATTTTCCAAACTTTTTTTGTTAATAACTTTTTAACGAATAATGAGCAACGGCTAAAACCTTCTGAAGGTCACTCGGGGTCATGACCTTGACAACATATATCAAGGTCATTGAAATCGGTGAGGTCGCCAAACATTTTTTTGTTAATAACTTTTTAATAAAAAGCGACCGCCGATTAAGTTATAAGGAAAAGTTACTCAGTATTATGCCCTTGACAACATATGTCAAGGTCAAAGTAATCCGAGCTGTGTAAGTTATTGTAAACTTTTACCGAAAAACTATACAGTTTGTAGCACTTCCCGGGAAATTCTACTCCTGTTTTATATACAATTCTTTAAAATTCAATCAATTATTTCCCGACAAATTCGAAAAACTTCTGATACCGATTCCCTAAAAAATCGGTAACGAAAAATTATGTACTTTATAGCACTCCCCGGGAAATTCTACCCCTACTTTTTATGTGCAATTCTTTGAGATTCGATCATTCGGAACCGGTTTTCAAAAAAATTGGTAACAAAAAATAGTACATTTTATAGCACTCCCCGGGAAATTCTACCCCTACTTCATGTATAAATTTTTGAGATTCAATCAATTATTTCACAAAAAATTGGAAAAATTAAAGAAACCGGTTTCCAAAAAAATCGGTAACAAAAACTGTACATCATGGCGCTCTCCGAAAAATTCTACCCCTACTTCATATACAATTCTTTAAGATTCGGTCAATTAATTCCCAAAAAATTGAAAAAATTTTGGTACCGGCTTCCAAAAAGATCGGTAACGAAAAATTATACACTTTATAGCACTCCCCGGAAAACTCTACCATGTTTGATCTATAATTCTTTGAGATTTGGTCAATTATTTCCCGAAAAATTAGAAAAATTAAAAAAAACCGGTTTCCAGAAAATCGGTAACAAAAAACTATACACATAGTGGCACTCCCCGGAAAATTCTACCCCTATTTCATATATTTTTGGTAAAAATTCAGTTCAGGAGTTTGGGCTGGGCGTTGATGAGTCAGTCAGTCAGTCAGAACATCTTCCTTTATATATATCGATACATTTATAACATGTTTTTCATAAACTACGTTTTATGTGTTAAATAAAATCAAATAGCGTGAAAGATTAATATTATGATAGTAAATATAGAAAATATAATTGTAGATGTTACATATTTGATCTAGCCAAGTTTTTTTGCATTAAGAGTATTTTTAAATATTGATTTGTTTTGTGTTATCACTTATCTTGTTTCATTAAGCCTTTTATTTAAATGTATTTGATTGTTCAT